ACCGAACGGGCGCCGAACACCAAAGAGGCGCCGAAAACCAAGGGGGCGCAGAACACGAAAAGGAAGACAAACACCAACAAACAACCGAACACAAAACAGTGCACCGCAAACCAAAGATGCGCGGGAAACCAAAAAAGGGCACCGAAAACCAAAAGGACAGCGAAAACCAAAAGGGCACCAAAAACAAAGAGGGCACCGCAAACCAAAGGGGCGCCGAACACCCATGGGGCCCAGAACAACTAAAGAAACGCAGAAAACCCACGGGGCGCCGAAAACCAACGATGCGCCGAAAGCCAAGGGCACCGAACAATTAATGTAGCGCCGATGACCAATAGGGCGCCGAAAACAAAAGAAGCGCCGAAAACAACAGAAGCTCCGAACACGGACACGGCGCCAAAAACAAAAAAGGCGCCGAAAACAGAAGGGGCGCTAAAAACATAAGGAACGCCGAAAACCAAACGGGCATCGAAAACCAAAGAGGTGCCGACAACCAAAGGGGCATCGAAAACCAACGATGTGCCGAAAGCCACAAGGGCGCCGAACATCCGAAGATGTGCCGATAACCAAAATGGCGTCGAAAACCAAAGGGCGCCAAAAACGGAAGGCGCGCAGGCAGCCGAAGGGCGCCCAAAAGCAAAGGGGTGCCGAAAACCAAAGAGCGCCGAACACCAAAACGGCGCCGAAAACTAAAGGAGCGCCGAAAACTAAAAGGGCGCCGAAAACCAAACGAGCGCCAGAACCCAAAAGAGCGCCAAAAACCAACGATACGCCGCAAACCAAACATGGTGCGCAGATAACAAAAAAGGGCATCGAAAACCAAAGGAGCGCCGAAAACCACAAAGCACCCCCGCATTTCGAAAGGGGAGCCCAAGTTGCGCACCCCCCCCCTTAGCTACGCCCCCCCCGCTAAAAGATGCCCACAAAAGGGGGGGAGGGGGAGGTAGCTTCGAAAGCCCTCCCTTTTTCCAAGGGGGAGAGGGGGTAGCTTGAAGCTGGGGCCACCCTTTTAGTGAGAAGTGCGCCACAAACGCGCTCTTTCAAAACGAGGACTCAACACCACACAATTGCTGGGAACGCTTAAACAGACACACAATTGGAGGACCGGTCGCTTTCACGATGGGGTTCTCGTCGTAACGACGCGCACGTTCGCTCGAACATTTTGCAACAACTTCAATGTGATGGTGATGGAAGGCCAGTCGTTTTCAACATTGGGTTATTGCATTCAGCGCCGCCCGCATTTGATTTCAGAGTTCGCGGGAAACGAAAGGATGTAGGTCAAGTGGCTGTCTCCCTATAGCGCTTGCACTTCAGTTTTACAGTATAAAACACCTACGGGGATGGAAGCTGGCTCGCTTACGAGTTGCGGCTCTCGCTTAAAACGTCATCGAATCCTACGGCCCGACATTCCAGAACAGCTCGTCGGATGGAGGGCGGCTCCTTTTCAAATGAGGTTCCTGCTCGAGACGTCTGCTCTTTTTGGGGCTCCGACCTTGAACTTGCAACAGTTACGCGGGCATTGGGCAGATCCGTTGTCAAGAAAAGCAATCGCTGGATACTTTCTTGAATTCCAGCCTTATACATACAGTGGAGGCACAAGAAACCTTCCACGAGAAACCCAACCCTGAGATCCCAGGACGTTCATTGATTTTTGAATGTAGGAACGGCACGCCTTCCACAGCAAAATCATCGAAACCCAAGACACCCAGGGCACCCTGGAGGTAAGCAAGGTGTTTCTTGGCATAGGCCTCCACTACATTCGCGCTTCTTTCAGCTAGAAAGATAGCGGGTGGTCCCTTTGCAAGCGGGCCGTCCGGCTCTCTCTCGCCGTTCACAGGGAGACGAAGACTACTCGCAGGGACTTTTTGAGTTGACACGGGGGATTCTTGCGACGGGAGGGTGTTCTGAAGCGTTGCTCACGCATCCTTGGTTTACGCTGGTCCTCCTCCTCCTCCTCCTCCTCCTCCTCCTCCTCCCAATCTGCGCTCTGTTGCGTCGCCATGTCTCGCATTACTTCTACACGCGGTACTTGTCCTGCATCAGGAGGAGCAGGAGAAGCAGGAGGAGCAGACGGAGGAGGAAGAGACGAGCGCAGAGACAATATCGAGGTAAAAGACGAACGGGGAATGAGGAGTGGGGGCCGAGGGGGGAAGGATGACGAAGGCCTCACGAGACCCCCCCCCGAGGCCTCCAGAGGTCTCCAAGAGCCCCTCGAGGCTCAATGAGAACCTCCAAAGCGCTCCCAAAGACTCGACTGCTTCCTCCGTCCTCCTTCGTCTTCCTCCCTGTCAGTCCTTCTCCCCCTCGTGCTCGTCCTCATCCTCGTCCTCCTCGTCCTCCTCGTCCTCCTCGTCCTCCTCCTCCTTCTCCTCCTCCTCCTCCTCCTCCTCCTCCTCCTCCTCCTCCCCGTCCTCCTCCTCCTCCTCCTCCTCCTCTTCCTCCTCCTCATCCTTGACGTCCTCTCCGCCTTCCACCTCGGCACGGCCAGAGGCGGGTCAACGAG